GACGGACGGGGATCCGTCGGAAATTTCAGGAAGATTTCCGAGGGTTAAGTTTTTCTCGGAAATTCCTCGAAAAGTCCTCGGAAATCCCTCAGAAAATTCAAAAAAGTCCGACAACTTTTCGACGGACGGGGATCCGTCGGAAATTTCAGGAAGATTTCCGAGGGATAACTTTTCCTTGAAAATTCTTCGAAATTCAGTCGGAATTCCGTCGAAAATTTCCGAGGGAAATTTTTCCGTCGGAAAATCCGTCTGAAAAATACCCTCTTTCTTGTAGTGAATGGCACTTGCCCAAAACTTCGAACTTGTGTCTTTTGTTTGTATTAAGCGTGAACTCAATGTAAAAGCGGATGGACTTGCTAAACAAGCCCTTAGTCTCTTGCTTGTAACGTCAGGATAATATGAATGAATGAAATAATATTTATGATAAAAAAAAAATCTAGCAAAAAAAAAAATATTTCACATATATAATCTTATACTCCATTTATTTTAAAATATAGGGTGTTCTGGTTAGAAAAGAGAAGATAAGACATTTGCTTCAACAAAAATCATCATTTACTATAATAAAATCTGATACTTCAAAAGAAAAAATTTTGAATTGAAGAGAGTAGTAGTTTTAAAATATCTAATGTATAACGTGTGGTAGATAATCAATAAGTGCAAAGAATTTCTTGTATACACCTTTTTATAACCCGAGATACTACAAATTTGGGTAAAGTGCTTGTTAGGTTACAATTATAATGCTTCGCTTTCTAAATAAACAACCAATATTATACTAAAAGATGTACAAAAGAAAGCAAGGTAATATGTATATATAATATCATATTACTATTCAGTTAATGAAATGGAACTGATGAGGAGTTTGGTGGTTGGTGTTTGTATGCATTGATGCCATCGAAAGGCAAAGAAAATAAGATGATAATAAATTAAAACAATTTGGAAGAGAATATAATTTGTGAAGAAACGACACATCTTCTCCGACAAAGATTTTGGACGGTACGGACAAAGCATGCTTCATTCTTCATCATTCCCCTTGGCCTTAAAAGTTATAACCTTTTCCCCCAAAATAATACCATTATTTAATATTGTTTCATCTCACGAGGTTAATTCTCTTTGTTATTGATAATTTTAAGTTTCACTTCGAAGTGTTATTTCTTTGCCAGTCCATCATGTTAAAGATCTCGGACCAAAATCTTAAATACGAAATAGTCTATGTGCAGCTCAATCGATTGTTCGACTAGAGAATCAAATCCAAAGTTTCTATGAATTTGCATATTAAATCCCTAAATTGTCAATATTCATGCCAACACTCGTGAATTACAAACATGTTTTGATACTTTATTTGGGTATCAATTATTTCAGGGTATTTTGGTTTTAAGGCTTTTTGTTAAAATCTATGACAATCGAGCTATATAAGTATATGATTTATCTTTTTCATGTAAATAAATAAAGCCAATCAGACCATGGTTAGATGTCATCGTATATACACATTTGATATCATTTGTTACCTCTGACAAATTACGTATGTAACCAAAATACCCTGAAAAACACATTTGATCAAAATGGCAAAATATATAGTCGCAGAACATACGTAATTTGTCAGAGGTGAAAAAAAGATAACAATTAGAGAGTTAATTGAAGATAGAATAAGCAATAGGTAAATCTTCATTAGTCACTAAGGAAATTTATATTTTTAATTAGAACATTGAAACCAACTCAGTTTTCTATAATAATAAAAATAAAAAGTTCGTATATTGTTTTGATCCTTTTTGTTGTAGACCTTGCATGATTGATGAAAATTGAGAAATTTCAAAAAAATCCCACTTTTCAATTGCCACTTTACAAAAATGTCACACTTTTAAATATCTTTATAAAAATACCACTTTTTCAAAATTATTTTTTTTTTATATCATGTTTGGGTTAAATATGTTCTATTAGGATTTAGTTACGAGGGTTTAAGGGATTTTAGGGATCAAAACATTTTTTAGGATTTAAAATTTTAAGATATAGGCTTTATAAATCTATAATTAGTGACATTTTTCCAAATAGACACCCCTAAATGGCATTCTTACAAATATGCACACACAAAGTGGCATTTTTATAATTGCTCCAATGAAAATTTTGGTTTGCTCGGCTTAATT